CGTTCTCTTGCTTTTCCCCACAAACACTTAAAAAGAAAAGGTATGTCTGCATGAGTTCCTCAGCAGGGCTGCTGTTCACCTTCATTTTGGCACCTGGGAATAAGGAAGCGAGAGTAGCACTGCTCAAGCAATAGCCACCACTGTTTCCATGCACGGTTTTTGTTAATATTTCTTTTCAAAAGAGGATTTTGTTGAGGAAATTCTCCACGTTTTTGAACACAAGTTACTACCAGCTAGAAAGGAGTGCTTTACCCTAGGAACTAGAAAAGCAAGGCTCTTCACAAGTTAGGGAGCTCACATATGTAAGGTAGGGAATATGGCAGGGAATTCATAGAAGGAAGGTATTGCTAACCCCATAAAATAGGGCCCAAGTACCCTCAAAATATTAATAGTCCCCAATCAGTACTACTACTTAACATACCACTGAAAGCTGTGGATATGCCCGTTAATCCACTTGGAAGAGCATTTCTGCATTGTCCCAAGTGCCATCAGCCATGATCTGAAAGGCACTTGTAAGACTACAAAGAAACGAGAAAACTTTTCTTTCATTAATGGGCCCTGTCCCCAAGACAATTAAACTAAACCAGTTTAATTAATAAAATGTACCCAATCTGGTAAGAACATTCTGTAACACGTTGTATGCAAGCTGGCTTTAGCTCATTTTGTTAGTAGGATTAATTTTTAGAAATCTAAGACTTTCATGTTAATCCCAGATAATAGTGCAGTTTGGTACACTAAAATAATCCGATTACAGTGAATGTCAGTGCGATTTGATTTTAAATGATGTGAAGCATGTTACTGGAACTATCACCCTCTCATTTTATGAAAGGATGACGTGCAAGATTGTCAGACAGGGTTCACCATGTCTCAACAGCTGCAGACCTCTGCTTCAAGCCATCTTTAAACACACGGCTTTGCTCATTCAAATATGGATTTTCTGACAGCAATTTAGCACAAGAATTTTAAAATTATGTGGACTTCAACACAACAATGGATATGCAAATATTGTATTGTATATAAAATTACCTTATACATGTATACCACTGAACTACCATCTGCTACAACCAAATATCTGATTTGTGTTTTCAATCAAAACCCCACAACCCTACCTAGTCCTTCCCACTAATTTGATTCACGAGCTTCTTTTTTGCATCTCCCTCATTCCCATATCTTCACTCTGGCTGGTCGCGGCAGGGCTCATGCCTATTTTATTCCTGGTTAATCTGATTATGTGATGTGATTGTGATGTCAGTGCATTAGCAGAAGGAAGTAACGCTTCCTGTAGGACGGATGGCAATTTTGACCTTTTAGAAGCAGGTCATGATCTGACTGCAAGATGAAAATAGAGCAAGACAAACTGCAGTAATAATACCAACTTGTTCTCCGATAGCGTAGTTCAAAGTAAGATTATGGCTCATGGACTGCAGGTAAGAGAGCATAATGCACTTGTATTTGGTTATTTGACTGAAGGGAGCTTTGGGTGTGGGGGAGAGGTTAGTGTCAGCAAAAAGTAGTAGAACATTAGAAATACTGACTAATGAAAGGCCTTGTTTCTTATATTTACTCAAGAGAAAAACTGGCTTTCAGAACAGAGGCATCTTAACAGACTAATTTGGTTTTTACAAACTTATGACATTATTTATTTGACTTTAATATACACCTACATTAATATTCTTTCATTCTGAGCTAACAAAACAATACTTATTTATGAATCTCTTTATTGTACAAAATTGCTGTAGTTCATTTTGTTGTTTTTTCCCCCTTAAACTCAGACACCTACATCAGTAAATGAACAACAAATGAGACTGAATCTAAATGAAACAACTAATTCCTCAAGTTATAAGCTCATTATTAAAAAATGTAATGACTTTGTGTGCTAGTTTAGTAGATTGCTTTATTATAATGGGATGCCGCTGTGTTATTTAGCATGTGCCACAATACAAATGCTTTCATGAGCCTGTAAGGTATGTGCAGCGTGTTGCTATGGTGATGTGGTGCTCAGACTGATGCAATCCTTAAGGTTCTGTTCATGAACCTTTCAGCAGACCTTAAAAAATGTCTCTCAGGTAACAACAAACAAGAAATTAATATGGCAGACATTGTTTGCACAAAATAGTCTCAATGAGCACAGTCGTTAACCAAATAAAAGGTGCTAAGCCGTACCGCTGGAGCAGCTAGAAGCAGCAATCACTATGCACACCTGTATGCTTCCAGACGAGCTTTATTCCATAGTTACATGAACACGGACAAAGCTCATCCCTCACTTGAGCTGAACCAGTTGCAATGCCTCTTACTGAATGCGGCAGTAAGCTAAATTAATTGGCAACAAGGCTGAACTTTAACTTGCTGTGCAGATGAAAGCCCAATTTATAACTCCAAGAGCAAATTCTGCGACTGAAGTCCACTAAATACGGCTATCAGTATCATGATTGGGCAAAACAAAAACTGCGCAAATCGCAGGTAGTGTAGTTGTTGCACTTAAGCTGCAGTTATGCAGAATGCAACAGTGATGGGGTTCCTGGGGAAAACAAACAAAACCCAACCGTAACACAAACAACCCACACTGCAGGACTTCTTAAACTGTTTATCGTGTTGGTGACTACACTTAAAGGTGCGTTTTCTGTTCCCCAGATGAAAATGATGCTTATATCTTCCAGTAGTCTGAAATAAACACTGCGGTCTAACTTTGACTAATGCTCACAATTATGTCTTATCATCACTGCTTCTTGTTGACAGACTCTGATATCCTGTACGTGTACTCTGTCACCACTAGCAACCTCACACAAGCAGAAATTAGCCCGTTTCAAACTGGCCAACTTGGTTAATACAACACTCAAACAACAATAAGCAGTTCTGCACTGCATTAAAGCCTGGTCATAGATGCTACTGTCCAGCCTGATCTACAGCTGATACCAGTGTTAACTGCCAGTATCTCTTCCAAGATTAACAAAGCACGAACAAATTTAATTTAAAAACAATCCTTCACTTAAGTTTTCATTTCACTGACTTCAGCCACGAAGAAAACAGCAACCAATCCAGGCAAAATAGTACTGCTGACACTAAACAGTGCTCAACTGCAAGGTTATTCTGTAAGTTACCTTGGAACATCAAGGCCTGTCAATTTTGAGTACTTGCAGAATACAGCTAGTTCAGCCAGGATGAGATTCTATATGCATTACCTTGTACCTTGATAATCTGTTCTTTGCAATTCTTGTTAACACCTGCCTCTCTAGTTTTATCTTTAAATGGAGTCGGCTATTCGTGGCCAATCTAAAATAAACAGCAGTAATTGGCTACCTCATTTTTGTGGCTGCTGTGAGTTTTGCAAGTGATAACATACATTCCATTTTTCCTTTCTTCCTAAGCACTCATCTCTCATGCCAAAAGGCCAGAATTAAAAACAATTCATCTGCCTATAGTGTTTGCAGGTGTTAACTTGTTCATCAACAATCCTTTATGCTGCTACTGCCCAGTTCAGAGCTCTGTGCTGTCCATTAGCAAGCCACTGTACTGAGTACTGCTGAATGCAACTGCTGTGCAGTTAACCTGTTTTGCACTAGTGAGGCTTTGAGGCAGCTTTGAATTTTTCTTTCAATGAGGTCTGTCTTTTTAACACTAACAGGGCAATATTAGATGTGACACCCTCACTAACTTGAGTTTTTTCACAACTTTTTCTAATACTTTCACGTTAGCCCTCTTATTCACAATCGTTTCTACCTCATTATATTTTTTCTCGCCTGCTTTTGTACCACCACTTCACAAATGAACACAGACCAAAGCATCTGTTATGGTCTTGAAGGGTGGTAGAATCCAAAGACACAGCCCTGTTTGGGGCCAGACTAGTCAGAAGACAAGACAGAATGGAGAACATGTAACTTCTAGCCATCCAGACACATCTGGGTGCAACAGCCTGGAGACAGCATGCTGGAGAACAAATTGCAATTCTAAACCTTGAGGGCCCTGATCTGTGGGAAGTCGCCATGGCCTCTCCCCAGCCATGCTGAGGAGCAATCTGCTAACAGGGCAAACAGCACTACGAGTTGAACTGCAGCTCAGAAGGTCTCTGGTTCCCACCTATGGGCACCCTCTGCAGCCTCTCCCATATAAGAAAGATGGGGGCAATATTTTTATCAGGTCCTGTTGTGATAGGACAAGCAGTACTGGTTTTAAACTAAAAGAGGGCAGTTTAAACTACAAGGAAGAAATTTTATACAATGAGGGTGGTGAAACACTGGAACAGGTTGCCAGAGAGGTGGTAGAAGCTCCATGCCTGGAAACATTCAAGGTCAGGTTGGACGGGGCTCTGAGCAACCAGATGTAGCTAAAGATGTCCCTGCTCGCTGCAGGGGGGTTGAACTAGATGGACTTTAAAGGTCCTTTCCAGACTAAAATATTCTGTGATTCTATGATTCTCTTCTTCCCACTACCATCTCAAAGCTTCTCCTTTGGGATAAGTCATCTCACCTGTCCTCTGAGACAGGTGATGGTTGGTATATGCTTACTTCTGCCAAAAGTTCAGTTGTGAATTCACACTGAAGAGATGGAGCTCTCTCTTTTACACAATGGAAAATGATGGTCACGGTAGTGCAGTATCCCAAAGTCAGCTGCTGACTGGAGACCAAGCTGTAATCCCAAACTACTTGCCTTAAATTTTAATTTTTTTTTTTTGCATGAGCAAGCTACTGTGCTCTGCAGAAGGGGGAGTGGAGAACACAAGAAGGGCGCGTTGTTTGGGGAGGTGGGTTTATGAGCTGATGATGGTTGAGAATTTCTCTTATAACAACTGGATCAAAGCAGGTAGCTATCCACATCTCAGACAAGCACACTAGCTCCTGAATTATCTGACAGATCGCGAGTTGTTCTATCAGAAAGTTCAGAAACTCTCCGATATATTATTATTATGACACATTATTGAGGGGGGAGGGTAGGGAGAGGAGTCTTTCTCTGCATTATCAGAGACTAGAAGGTTTTTTCCTATATGGCTCTTTCTACTCTTACAGCTATTTCCCCTTCACTTGCAGGTAAGAGACGAAGAAAGTGGCTATAATAAAAATCTATTTTGCATTCCTAAGCATTATGAAGAAGATTTAGAAAGAGTCTTCATTCCTCATGGACTCATCCTGGACAGGTATGAGGGTAAACAACAAAGAGTAGTGACAGTGATCACAATGATCCATTTCCCTCCAAATGAAAGGACTGAGGCCCTACCCTGCATAGCCCATGAGAAACATGGAAACCCTGCAGCTGTAACACTTGTGTTCTGGAGTGCAATACAAGTGGGGTTTTATGGAGAGGATTCCTCTACAACCCCAGCTAAGTTTCCACGTTATCTCAAATATCTTTAAGCTTTCCTATCCTGTATTGTTTAGATGCATGGATTAAATCAACAGTGGAGTAGGCACCTTGTGAACTGTAAATATGTAACTAACTTTCCTGTGTCTTAATGTGGTCACAATTTGCTGGTCCTATAAACCTAGCAAGATCAGAATTTTAACTTGGACATTGCTTAATATATGGGCAAACAAATATGATACATAAACCAACTTTTTTTGTTGGTTTTTTTTTCCTTCCAGGACAGAACGTTTGGCTAGAGATATCATGCAAGATATGGGAAGCCATCACATCGTCGCACTCTGTGTCCTTAAAGGGGGCTATAAATTCTTTGCTGATTTGTTGGACCATATAAAAGCACTCAATCAAAATGGTGATAAATCTGTGCCTATTACTGTGGATTTTGTTAGAATAAAAAGCTACTGCGTAAGAAACTTTCTTTTCTTTGGAAAATAGATTCTTCCCATAGATTGACATTCTGAATACTGGTAGTTTACATGAAAACTCCACAAAAATTAAGTACTGAAGACCAACTGACCTACTGACCTGCCCCAATGATCAGATGGATATTTTACGTTCAGTGGAATGAACACATAGCAGAACACTTAACATAAAAAAGCCATGGTCAGGTCTCCAACGTCCTCCTCTCCAGCCCAAAGCTTCCATACAGATTCTACTCTGTCTTTACCATGGCACCCTTTGGTGGGACGGAGTATGGAGAGGAGCTTAGCATCAGACTTGCTTATTTTGTCTCTCTGCATTATTTTTTATTCCTACAGATAATACTAGAAAGACTCATTTTTGTCATCTGTGTGCTGGGGAACAGGTATCTTTTGCCTGAACCAACCACAGTTGGCCTGAACCTATTACTATAAAGCAATGATTTATGCCGTTTTTTTCTGGTTTATCTTCCCCCCTCTTTGAAGGCTAGAGCTCCATGCACTGATCAAAATTTACCCCATGCTAAACAGAACAGTTTACAATATCCTACAAATTTTTCATGGAATTCTAAAACAAATCCATGGTTACAAAAATAGCTGCAAGCAATGGTGTCTAATCCATGAACACAGAAGTACTCTTGTTCCATGCAAACATCTGTCTGCACTGATACTTCACTCTCTCCTCTTGCTCTCAGCTACTTAAAAGCTGTTTGGCTGAAGCAGTGCTGTGTACAGCTGCAAGTGCCACCTGAGAGGCAAAAAGCAAGAGCAGCATGCCATTCATACACATACAGGATGACACTTTTGAGCATGTTTTATGTGACTTCCCACTCTTCTTTCTCCTTCTAGAATGATTCACCTACAGAAAAAATCAGTATTGTTGGAGAGGAACTGTCTACACTAAATGGAAAGGTATGAATCAGCTTCTTCAGATTTTAATTTTTTTAAAGAGTAGTTCTTGAGTATCTTCCAGGAAATCCACCTTTATTAAGTTTTTGATACCACATATTTACAGCCACTTAACACTGGTTTAAAATGCCATGCTCTGAAACAGTGAGTAATTCCCACTGTCTTGGAAACTTAACACAATCAGTACTGAATGCTTCTAAAAATCCTATTCCACATTTTTTCCCACAGCCCCCAGAAATGAACCACCTTAAACTGACTCATGCAGTACGGTTCTAGAATGCTCTTGCTATACATAGAATAATATATAGAACCTGACGCAGGTGGCTTTCTCACAGTATTTTATGCTTCCATAAATACTCACAGAAAGACTCTTCAGAAAGCACTAAAATAATGTAAGTAGTTAAGTGATAAGCTGCTTTGAAAAATCATCTGCAACTTGTAACTGAAGTCTGTAATGCAAACTTTTTCTGGCTGTATAAATCACTGAATGCTGCCATGTAAACATTTTCTTTTCTTTCTCTCCCTACATGATCTTTTCCAGAATGTGTTAGTAGTAGAGGTAAGTAAAGTTTGGAGCGTGGGGGGAGGAAACAACATGGACTTTTTTCTCCCCGTTTTGCAAATTAATACCTATTGCATATAAACCAACAATTAATTACATTACTGTGCTGCCAAGGTTGCTGACTGGCTTTTATGCTTTAAAGTAATCCACTGACAGTCTGGTTTTTCTTTCAGACTCGGAGGATAATTTATATTTTTATCTCCTTCAGGACATTATTGAGACTGGAAGAACAATGAAAGCACTACTTTCAAAACTAAAAGACAATGAACCAAAGATGGTAAAAGTTGTAAGGTATAATGATATGGCCATTTACTAATGTATGGTAACAAGAAGACAGAGCAAAATCATTTAGGTGAATAGTCAGTGTATGCTGATGGGTGTTCGTTTTTGGTTGGTTTGAAAGTTAGGGGAAGAGGAAGCAAAAGCAGCAAGCAATCCTTATCCAGCTGGTGAAAAACTATTTATTAAACTGGGAAATTTACATATGCACTACCACCTTCGTGTTAAAATGAATAAAAAAGGTTTCCTGGCTCTTTTTGCATAGTCATAGAATCAGACAATTGTTTGGGTTGGAAGGGACCTTACAGATCATC